TCCTACTATCTCCAGATAACTGGTGGTGCTGTATTGTAACTGTCAGAACTAAATGGCTGCAGTGTATTAAAAGTTACCTTTGCCCAAAACTGGACAAGTTTTCCTTAGCTTTTAAAATCAGGCAACTCAAACAAGGCCTCGAATTCCCTCCAATGACTGTCCAAAGCTCAGACGTTAATATCTCAAAATGGTGCAGCACAAAAAAATCTCAGCCAATTCAGCCCATCGTTCCTTTGCTAGCCTTTTCATGGAGCTTGTCAAATAACCTAACCCTAGATCATCACTGCAATGCGACCTCTAAGTGTTTTCTTTAATTGAGTAAGAACTTAGTAAAACTTGCTAGATCATTACAAATTGCAGTGCAGAGGCAAATTGCATTTCTGTGGGTCTTAGCAGAAAGGCCTGACTGTGGAGATCAAGGACAACAGATTTTCCTCCCTAGGGACATGTTCCTTCCTTCAAAAAAAAAGAGGCACCTGAAGGTTTCATGACTACCATTAGTGTCGTTTTTTAAAATTCAATTCATCATTGAGTTTAAATTCCACACCAGCTAGAGTGAGATTGAACTTGGATCTTTGGATTTGCTCATCTGTTTGCATAGGCAGTATAAATTATACTGCAAGTATTTACAGTCTTTTTGAATGTGACTATCAAGGTCAGTTTATCACCCTATCACATAGCATATTCCACATCATAAACTGAAGATTTAGCGACAAAAAGCCATTTGACCCCCAACTTGCAACATGCATTTAATTACAAAGCATGCAAAAAAACCTGACCTTTCCCATCAGTTTTAGAAACCCACAACCTGCATTGTTCTTTCAATTTTCGACCAGCACCGCAAATCCGTGCTTCCAGTTACCATGTTTCTACCATTCCTTATTTACTCTATACCTTCTCCATTTTGAAGCAGTCACAACCAAATTTTCTTTTAATCTTCTCCAATCCAAGGAAAGCAGAGACAGCCTTCTCGATCTTCACTACTTGATATACCACACCCTCTGAATACTACACCAAATCCTACAATCCAAACAGGCACTGACCAAAAATGAACATGACACTAGTTGAGGTGTAACCATCAACAGGTCCAAGTGCCAAAGCAGCCTGTTTAGCCCAGCTAGTCTGCTCTAGCATTCAACGAGATCATAGCTGATCTAATGATCCACTTTCCTGTCTTTTCCCCAAAACCCTTGATTCTCTTATTGAAGTATTTTCAAGGCTGAGAAAGATTGATTTTTAATAACAGCCTTAATATATATTTATTCCAGATATTTATCCAATGCAAATTTAACCATCTGCCATGTTGGTATTCAAACCCAAATCACCAGAGCATTAGCTGGGAGTTCTAGATTACTAGTTCTGTGACATTACCTCGACACCACTGCGTCCCACTAAATTACCGAGCATACTAAAGACACCTCCATTTGACACCAATTCTACCGTCCTCCGTTCTGTATCTGTCCTTGACCATATTAAATGGACTTGCACCCACTGGGAGATTCCACAAAGCCATAAAGGAATTTAATATCAAAGACATCTAAAAATGCTTACCTTTTTCATTTTATACCAATCTGTGCAGCTTGAGGATTTTTGTGCAGCATTCTAAGCAGATACCATTGTGTGAAAGCATGCCTAGATATCTTTCCCTGTAAGCCTAGTCACTACATCAAAGCCACTTCATAATTAAACACTTTACAACCACATTTAGAAAAAAATAGTTCTTTATTTCACATCATAAAAATAACTCATTCTGCCACTGGCCAAGCTTCAGAAACAATTGAGTGGCATCACATTTAATAAAGTATCTTTCAGATAGAAACTAACAAACAGGTTCTGGGATAGTGCAAAATATATAGATTGTTGATTTCAGAGTAACTAACCAGCTTCAGTGTTTAAGATACAAATTTTAAAAAAGTGAGCACCTGAAAAACTAGACCTGTAAAATAGTGAGGTACACAATAAAAATGTGGACAGTTTTAATTCAGTTTTAGGTGACTATTTAGGTTTATAAATATACCACAATTTTTACCCATCTTGCAGCAAACATCTGGAAAAGGAACTGTCAGTATTAAAAGTCAGTGAAAAAAGTTAAACTTTAAAAAGCAATCCCAGTTAAATAGCATTTATATACAAAGCATGTGGTACTTTACAAAGAAATTTCTGGTCCATTAGTGCTACTGGCATCTTAAGTTATTTCCCTTTTGTGCATCTTAAAAATAATTGCAGACAGTCAGAATGGGCCCATTTGAGGCACCCTCATTGCAAGACCTGGATGAGGAGTCACATGTCTCTAAAGCATTTGGATACAATCCTTGTAACTAAATGGGCCCTCTCGGTAGATGAAGGTGTGGATGCTGTCGCAGTCTCTCCAACAAATCATCTTCAGTTGGTTCCTCTAGATCATCTCTAAAATTCAGGGAAGAACAGAATTAGACCGGAGATATATCTTTGCTAAAGAACACAAGTGCCTCGAATGTAGAAATTCTCAATGGGGATGGATCTCATTTCATCTGTTTTGCGCAAAACAAGTGAAAAGGTGGTTTGGAAAAGTAAAGTAATAATCAAACGAGACAAAATAACCAAAGGTGAAGAATCAGGGTCATAAACCAAAATTAGTTATCTGTACAACTTTTATTTACACAAATGCAGAATATCTTACACGTAACGCCAAAATCAATTTTAATTTAAATGGATGGTGCTGATTCAAAGCTGAATGCCAAGACCCTTCAGGTACAGGTTTCTCCAGGACCCACATGGTCTAGTGAGACTGAGGACAGCCATCTTCTGGTTTAACTGAAAGGGTCACTTGTGGTAAAGAAGATGTAGAGATGCAAATAAACTATAAGTATTTACAAAGTAAACCACATATTGTAACATCAAATGCTGTCAGGAAGATCTGGTCTTCGGTCTGAATCCTCCAAGACTCAGCTATTCTGCTCACCCGTTTTCATGATTTGAATGGGCAGTGCTATGGCACTCCGTATTAATGCTTTCAAGCCCACATATAAATGCACATGTGCATGCATAGGGGCTTCCACTGAAGTACAAAAACACAAAATTGCACAGTCAGGTAAGGAAAGAAGCCTCATTTCCCCCACCAGTATTGAAGGATACAGATGAAACAAGTAATTTAGCTGAAAAGTCTAACATTATCCCCCAACCCAAAAAAAAAGGATCCATCATCCCCAAAAAAGGACTCCTGGCTGACCATCCCAGTTACATCTGTTCAACTACATCATTCAATATTCCATTGTGGCTGTAGGTTTGTGATGAAATAAAAAAGTGAAAACTTTCAGTAAAAATTCAGAATTTTGAGGAACTTCACCCTGAGCTACGTTAGGTAATCAAGCAAGTTTGAGGTGGTCAGACACTGGAGTTACACGTCACATTAGCCTACCAAAACACACTTTTTAGAAACAAACATTTAAATCTAATTGCCACTTTCATGTTTACAGGCTGTTCCAAATGCTTTAATGCCAGTGAAGTACCAATGAAGCCAAATTATTGCAGTAAATGTAAGAAATGGTGCGTGCAGCAAGCTCCCATTACAGGCAATACGATGATGGATGGATAGTGAGATGTGTACAAAGGGATAAATATTGGCCATACTTATTGTCCTTTTAACCAAGATACTCTTGTGTTGAGCAGATTCAGACCCAAAATCTCAGTCATCTGACTGACTATCACCAATTAAGCATGTTGCTTTAGCTTTAATCAAAGAGTATTTTTTGACCTAGATACAGCTTCTTTCCAGAAGGATTCTTAAAAAAAGGATTTGTCTGGATCAGAAATGCTATATCACTACAGATAATATTCTGGACCCAGGTTTGAATCCTGCCATGGCAGAGGGTGGAATTTGAATTCAATAAAAATATCTGGGATGAAGGATCTAAATGATGACCATGAATCCATTGTTGAATATTGGAAAAACACCCATCTGACTTGCTCATGTCCTTTAGGGAAGGAAACTGCCATCCTTACCTGGTTTGGCCTGTGTGACTCCAGACCCACAACAATGTGATTGACTCTAAACTGCCCTTTGGGCAATTAGGGATGGGCAATAAATGCTGCCCAGCCAGTGACACCCTCATCCTATTAGTGATGAAAAAAAAAAAAATCAATACAAATGGCCAAATGTTGCCAATCATTGGATCTGCACACAGGCCAATGTCATATTGTCAAGAAACAGGCCGAGGGACCCATTTTTTTTGGAAACTATCAGTTGTTCACAGCAATTAGCAAAACGAGCAATGAAACTATTTTAAATACACATGGATAAGGTGAGTTTTAAGCATTCATTTAATCCTTAGTGGACCATGTCAAAGATTTGGTCTTTTTAAAAAGATAATTACATCAAATAAAAGAGCAAGTGATATCTGGAGTTTGAATAATGCACTCCAGTGACAATACTTATCTGTACAAGTCAGTGGATAAACACTCACCTGAACATATCCTGCACACTCATTTGATATTCTGACTCTTGATCAGAGAAGGATGGGTGGTAAGTCCGATCCCATTTATGAATAAAATTCTGCAATTATTTGAAAAAAAAAAATCACAAACCTGCAGCAATTTCTATGTGTCCACATTTAGCAGTACACAGGTACAATGAGGGTCAACGTGTTCGGCTAATTTCAGAGCTCTTCACTCAATTAACTGCAGGAGGGGAAAAGACACATCACAACATAACCAAATGCATGGAACTCTTTTCTGGTTTTCGTGGAACAGAAGGAGGGTTAAACGGGAATAAGAAAACCAGTACAGAAAGATGAATGATAACATGCCCAGAGGGTGAAGAGGACAGAGGCCGACTTGTGCAATTAAAAATCTTGGGCTACAATAACAAATGAAATTATTTTTCCCCCCTCTTTTTCCAAGACAAGTAGTCATTTCCACTCAAGGAGACAATTCACTTAATTGAAAATCTAGTGTTAAAAGTCAAACTGCTACAACAGGCACTTCATGAGCAATTAAAGAGTTTATGCAGACAACAGCTTTTTCGTGTTTTCATAGGAATTGGTAAAGCCTCTCCATACTTGCCTCAAGAATCAGAGCCACAAAGAGGTTAACCCAAATGACAGAGGACACCAGCCACCAAGCTACAAAATAAAGTTTGGACCACCTGCAAGATCAAAACACTGGCTTTAGAAATTAAACAGGACGCCATCCGTTATTAAACATGGCTTACAAAATGAAAATTCTTGAAAGGCAGCAATTTGTATACAAACAAAGAAAACATTCATATGAAAAAGCTAAGACAACAGACTAATTGGTACATTAGATTGCTTCACAGCAATCTGCTCTTGGCACAACTGGGAAAGATGAGGTATGTATATACAATTACACAAGTTATTGGACAAGGTCATATGACCCCTGCTAATACTCACTTCCCACGGAAGATTGTAATTTCTCTATATTTTTCTCCCCAGAATATTTAAACATTAGGCATCTCCATAAATCTTTTAAACACAAGTCCTCTTTAACACGATCGTCTCGGCAACTATAGTTACTAGTTTAAAAGACTATACAATCCAGTATCTCCTCTCCAGCACATGAACAGAAAATACTTCTAGATCACATCCACTTGTGTACAACTCTGAAGTTAACTCTGGTTATTAGTTTACAAGGACTTCGCTGCAGAACCTCCATAAATAAAAGTTACACAGCAACTTGCAAGAAAACTAAATGGCAATAACTTGTATAGGAGGTATAGCAAAGCAGTTCTGAAGAGTAGCATTTGACTCAAAACAGCAGAATTCCATTATAACAGTTCAATATACCACAAATTCAAAGCATGGAAAAAGTGTTTTACAAGAATGTTTCCAGAGATGAGGAACTTCAGTTATGAAGATAGACTGAGGTTGGAGCGGTTCTCCTGGATAGAAGGGAGCTAGGAGGAGATCTGATAGAGGTTTCCAAATCCTTTCCAAAAAAAAAACAAACAAACAGGGAGGGCACTGATTTACACAACATGCAAAGAGTGACACTCCTGAATGGTCTACTTGAACCATCAGCTCATCAGTTTTGGTTCAAATGCTAGTGCATCGAGCTAAACAAAGCCTTCTCTTATCTTTATTTCTGTAACCTCCAGACTTTAGTCTTAGATTTGTCACAGCCCATTCATCATTTCCCAAATTAATACATTTCTTGCCTCATTTGTATTAATTTGCCATATTTTTTCCAAATATTGGTGCTTAGTCATAATTGGAGGGAATAGTGATGAAAAACAGAAATGGCAGAAGAAACAAAACATTTCATTGTGTCTTCACGAAAGAGGACAAATCACTTTCTGAAAACCTTAGGGAACCAGGGCTCTATTGAATGGGAGGAATAGATTACATGCAGTAGTATTAGTGGAAAAAACTAAACAAGTTTAGGGGTTGAAAGCCGAGTCTGATAATCTGCAACCCAAAGTACGAAAGAAAGCAGCCCTGGGAAACAGCACATACATTGCTGGTCATCTTCCAAAATTCTAAAGACTCCAGAGAAGTTGGTACAAATTGGGGGGTGGCAAACATAACGCCATTATTTGAGAGGAAAACAAACAGAACAGTCAGCCTAACTGGTTGAAAGTGGAGTTGCAGACAGACAGGATATAGCAAATGCAGCATTTGGTACACTTGCCTTTATTTGACAGTGCATGGCATACAAGAGTTAGGATGTCATGTTGCAACCGTACAGGACATTGATTAGGCCACTTTTGGCATACTGAGTTCAATTCTGGTCTCCCTGCTGTAGAAAAGATTGTGAAACTAGAGAGGGTGCAGAAGAGCTTTACAAAAGATGTTGCCAAGGTTGGAGGGTTTGAGTTATAGGAACAGGCTTGGGTTATTTTCCCTGGAGTATCAGAGGGTGAGGGGTGACCTTATAGAGGCTCAAAATTGTGAGGGGCATGAACAGGGCAAATAGCCAGGTTCTTTTTCTAAGGATAGGAGTGCAAAACTAAACGACATAGGTTGAAGTGGAGGGAAAAATTTTAAAAGGCACAAGGGGCAACTCTTTCACACAGAGGGTGGTGAACATATGGAATGAGCTGGTATAACTACAGCATTTAAAAAGGCATCTCGATGGGTACATAATAGAAGGGTTGAGGGGGATATGGGCCAAATACTGGCAAATAGGGCTGGATTAATTTAGGATATCTGGTCAGCATGGACAAATTGGACTGAAGGGTGTGTTTCAATGATTGACTAACAGTAGTAGTGGGGAAAAGTGCCAGGATCTAGGGCAAAAACATGCTAACCAAACACTTGGAAACATTAACAGGATTAGACGATGTCAGCATCATTTTATCAAAGGGCTATCATGCCTAACTAATCTTCTGGAGTTTAAGGATTAACTAGTAGAATTGATAAGGCAGAACCAGGAGACCAGTTGTATTTGGATCAAGGTTTTTGAAAAGCCTCCCCATTTTAAAATAATGTGGACAATATGAAAGCAACCAAGATTGGGGATAACATACTGGCATGGAAAGACAGTTGGTTGACAGACTGGAAACATTCCCAAGTTTTCTGGCCACAAAACTGGGAAAGATCGAGAAGATGATGCAAGGAGTTGGACAGGTGAACAAATACATGGCAGATACAGTACAACATGGATAAAATGTGAAATTGTATGCAAGTGGAATACAGACATTATTTAAATGATATGTTGGGAAATGTGATGTATGAAGGAACCTCTGACACCAGCCAATGAAAGTGAACAGGCAGGTACAGCAATTGGGAAGGCAAATGGTATACCAGCCTTCGCTGCAGCAAGATTTGAGCTCAGAAGTCAGGATATCTTACTTAAATTATACAGGGCCTTGGAGAGAGCACACCTAGGAGTATTCATGCAGTTTGGTCTCCCACCCCAAGAACGGATGTACTTCTTGCAGAGCAAGTGTGCAGCAGAGGTTCACTAGGTTGTTACTGTGAATGGCAGGACTGTCGAGGAGAGCCTGTATTCACTAGAGTTTACAAAAGTGACAGGAGATCAGTTTGAGATGTATTAAATTCTAACAAAGCCCACAATAGTAGATATTGGGAAGATATTTCCACTAGTTGGAGAGTCTAGAATTAGGGGTCACAGTCTCAGGATATGAAGTAGGCCATTTATGACCAAGATGAAGAAAGACATCTTCAGAGGGTGATCTTTTGCATGGTTTAGGTCTGAGTATATTCAAGAAAAATATTGATAAACTTAAAGATATTAAAAGCATCAAGGGATATCATGAGAAAGTGGGTACATGGAATATGATAAAAGTATCACCCATGATCATTTTGAATGGCAAAACAGTTTCAAAAAGGTCCTATGCCTGCTCTTAACTGGGGTTTCTAAATCTTAGATGGAAACTGCCCTCAATAACAGTGGCCATGAATCCACTGGTAAATTGTTGTAAGAGCATCTAGTTCACTAATGTCATTATCTGGTCTGGCTTAAATGCAACTTCAGGCCCACAGCAATTTAGCCCAGAGTATCCTCCAGTAAACCACTTAGCTCAAGTGCAATTAGGTGTGGGCAATAACTGCTGGTCTGGCCCTTTGCCCGTTTTTAAAGATGTATGCATCTTACAGGGCTTCTGTTTGATTCTAAAGAAGTTTGGTGGACTTCGTCAACTGCCACATCGAGCAACCTCAATCCACAGTCAACTGGAGTTTCCTTGCACAATTTAATCATGGAGGTTTGTTAATGCTTAGACTGTACACCAGATGGTGCTTCTACATAATGTAATGTTCTAGGTCTATAGAGAGCAATGAAATCAGTGATTGTCTTGTACACCCTCAGCATGAAGGGAGCAAAAGTATGAATAGTGCAGATAACCAGACAAGTTGTAATAACAATACACTAAAAGCAAAAAAGATTTAGCCCCTTCATCAGATGAAGTGAGGAGGAAGCACAGAACACAATTTTTAAGTAAAAGATCAAAGGGTCACATCACTGATGAGGGTGTATTAAACACTAAGATGCTGTTAAATCAGTTAGAAGGTTTTAATTGATTAATATGTATATGTAAATGTGAATTTTTTTTCAAATCACGGTCCTACGAGAACTAAAGGTTTTATCAGTGCAAAGAAAAAGTGACATTTTAGGTTAGACAATGCCTGTTAGGTGTGAGGCCTTGTTTAGAATCTGTTTGTGTTTTAGTTGAGTCAAACTGGTTGTATTTCTAAAGTAGGAATTTATAAAACACCACATTGACTGACTGTCTATAAGTTGTGGGCTTTTTGAACAAAAGAGAACGTATCTGCAAATACAATCTTAAACTGCAACAAGTTTTGTGGGGAAGAAATACACCAACTCAAAGTTGATGCTGTCCCTTTGCACCAGTTACCTTTGTTTCAAATATCAGACCCCAAAGTCAATTTCCAGGTAAACTTTGGATCATGTCATTACTGTTTCATTTAAAACAAAATCACAATATTGGTGGTGCCTCTCATGAATGTTTCAGTGGCTAACAATAAAAAGTCAAAAAATAAAAAGGATTCATTTTGCGCTGACTTGCCCAATATTACTTCCACCCGAGATAGAAACACTGAAAAAGACATTGTCAATGCTTTTCATTTTGCAATCACCAGGACATTTGCAATATGCAAGGGGGAAACAGTTGGCAAGTGAACTCAAAAGTAGGGATTGCCATAGAAAAGGCAATTAGGTGATGACTGACAGTTAACTGACAAAATTTAAAGCAAGCAGTTGACTGAAAACATGAATCAGCATGCACTTCGCAGTATAAAATGGAGCTCCCTTTCACATTGGTATGCTTGTGAATTGGTCCGAGAAGTCCAAGGTAAAGGTCTGCAGTTTTCATCAGCAATAAAAAAAGGCATGTCATACTTGAGAGATTATTTCTTGTCACAGGAAATCTAGACTAAAAGGGAACATAATATAAATGTTCAGTAAGGGATGATAAATGAAAACACTCCCCAGAGTCAAACATTTAGAACATTTTTCTGCTAAAGGAGGAGATAATAGGTAAACTAAAGACCAGAACTGTTAACTGTTGGCAACAAAGTTTACAATGGTGCAAAAAAAAAATGGGTAAATCGAGCATGGAGATATCTAACATCTCCAATACCTGCAAGGAACACGACTGTGGCAAATGGAGCCTAATGCAAAGCAACCTGAAGTTGTTCATCTTGAAAAGGAGAAAAGAACATTTAAATGGAGAGAAGGTGCAACACAAAACACTTCGGGGAACTTGTGCATGAAACAGATAGCTAGCACACTGGGGCAACAGGTAATCAGGAGGAGAAAGAAATTTTGGCCTTTATTTCAACGGTATTGGAGTATAAAAGGTAGGAAAAAAATCTTACTGCAACTGTACAAGGCACTGGTGAGACCACATTTGTTGTACTGTGAACAGTTTTGGCCCCTTTAAGGAAAGATATCATTTCATTGGATGCAGTTCAGAGAAAGTTCACTAGGATAATCCCTGGTACGGAGGGTTGTCTAATAATCAAAGGCTAAATAGGTTGGGACTCTACTCATTGGAATTTAGGAGAAAAGAGAGGTGATCTCATTGAAGCATGTGGAATTCAGAAGAGATTTGACAGGAAAATGCTGACAGGATGGATGTTTCCTCTCACAGTACAGTCCAGGACCAGAGGATAATGTCATAATTAAGGGACACTAATTTAATACGAAGATGAAGAGGAATTCCTTTTCCAACTGGAGTGGCTTTGGAACTCCTTGCCACGGAGCTCTAGGGGCAGAGTGCTGCAGTACATTCAAGGCCAAGATTGATCAAGAATTTCTGTTGGGATATCAAGGGTTATGGGGAAAACAGAGCAAAGTGGATGTGAGGAATGTCAGCCACAATTGTATTGAGTGGACAAATGGCCTTCTCCTGGTCCTATTTTGGATGGTTTCAGTGCTTTTCTGTAAAGCAGAAAAATAATAAAAAGCGGGGTTGTGAAACTAGTAGGGTTAACAAAATAAGTTTTCCATTTCTTCAAATCCAACTGTAGCTCAGTAGAAGCACTATTTTGATAAAAACATTTTCCGTCACAAACCAACTGAACATCAAAGTTTACTCACGGACTTGCATATCTTGAGAAGACATCCAGAAAAACCTGCCAGTTGTTTACCACCATTAGATCCCACAGAGTGACCAAAGCAGCCTACCATAAAGAAACAATTTTTGTTAAGTCTCCCCAGCCATTCACAGCCTAGGAGGTGGAAATTAGCACATATCAAAAAGGGCAAAAAACCATTTTGGCTGGACTTTATTCTTCTCTCAGCCTCACGGCTGCTGTGCAAATTATACTCTGCAAGCATGTTTTAGTTATTTCTGGATCACTTTCCAGTATAGAATTCAGCAACTTACAGCAAAGTCATTAAAGTTGTTGGGCCAATAACCCAGCTGTTCATAGGTACCACACTGTTGTGTCATATTCTCAGATGAAATGCTTGCATTCAGACTGTAAAAGCAAAAGTACAAATACCAACAGTTTCAATTTATGAAAATAGTACAGGTTTTGCTGCCAGTCCAACGCCAGATATGTAGGCTGTATACCACAAGGAACCAGCAGACCAACACAAACAACTTGGCATTTGACTGTCCAATGGCCAACTGTGCATGCAAATCTCAATGCAGTGCTCAATCTTGAATGTGATGCTGCTCTAGACCAACATTTACTCAATAAACCTGACTGTGCCCTATATGTTTAAGGTGGAGGTACACATACTTCGTAGTATTAAAGGGATCAAAGGATATGGGAAGAAAGTAGGAATAGGGGGCTGAATTGGATGATCATACTGAATGGCAAAACAGAGTTAAAGAGATAATGCCTACTCCTGATCTAATGTTCTATATTGCTACGAATAACAATTCCACAAAACCAAAATTTATGGACTCAGTTAGGCTTGCAGTGAGAGATTCGTTTGTAAGTGCTAGAAGCCACAATTCTTATACTATCCTGTGCAGACAAAACAAATGTCCACAAATTGTGCCCTTTCCTCAGTGGAAAGTTACAAGGACAACCAATCTGTTCAAAAATCGCATGGTAACATGCTGACCAGTATTTACCTGGTTTGAATTTAACCAGCAAACCAAGATAGTCAACAGTTCCTGCTGCATAGCATGTCAAAGTCCAAGTAATCTGCACCCTTTAATGCTGTATGAAGTAGTTGTTTCCTTGTGTTTCAGTCCTGATTAATGCAAGACTAAAAGTTGACTGCATGCTCCTTTTCAGCAATCTCTAAATCCATGATAACTAGACACTATGCTGAATTGGTGTCACACAGCACAAAAACATATCCTTTAGCCCAACAAGTCCCCAAACTAAACTTGTCCCACTTGCCTGTTCCTGGCCCATATCCCTCTAAACCTTTCCTATTCATGTACTTGTCCAAATATCTTAGAACGTCTAACTGTATCTGCACTCACCCACTTCCTCTGGCAGTTCATTCCACACACTAACCACTGTTTAAAAAGTTGCCCCTTAGTTCCCTTTGAAATCTTTCTCCTCACTTTAAAAATATACCCCCAGTTAGGAATTCCCCAAACCTAGGAAAAGACCTTTGCTATTCACCTGTGCCCCTATGATTTTATACATCTCTACAATGTCACGCCTCAACCTCCTACACTTCAGTAAAAAAAGTCCAAGCCTAACCAGCTTATTTTAAAAACAAACCTTCCATTCCTAGCAACATCCTGGGAAATCCTATGCCATCTCTCTATCAACAAAATGGAAGATGGAGATAAAAGGAGTCACTAATGCAGGTGGCAACAATTTTAGTTGTAAAGTCAGAATGCTTTTTACCCAAGTTCCAAAGAGTCATCATACTGGACTGCTAGAACATAGAAGAGTACAGCACAGTACAGGCCCTTCAGCCCACGATGTCGTGCTGACCTATTATCCTAAGATCAGTCTACCTTGCAAACCCTACATTTTACTGTCCTCCACGTGCCTATCCAAGAGTCACTTGTATGTCCCCTTGTATCTGACTTCACTGCCGGCAACGCCTTCCACACGCCCACCGTGTAAAGAATCTCTGTCTGACATCTCCCCTACACCTTCCTCTAATCACCTTAAAATTATGCGCCCTCGTAATAGTCATTTCCACCCTGGGAAAAAGGTCTCTGACTATCCACTATCTATGCCTCTCATCATCTTGTAAACCTGTATCAAGTCACCTCTCATCCTTCTTCACGCCAATGAAAAAAGCCCAAGTGCTCTCAACCTTTCCTCATAAGACCTGCCCTCCAGTCCAGGCAAAATGTTAACTGTTTTTCTGTAAAGATGCTGCCAAGCCTGCTAAGTCTCATTACCATTTTGTTTTAGATTTTCAGAGTCCACAGTAGCTTACTTTATGTAAAAGCCAACAATTTTTTGTAAGTCTTAAGGAGGTACAAGTCTGCCCAAGCTAGACTTGCATTTTAGGAGATGCTACTCAGTTTCTCCAGTGTCTGATATTTCTTAAATCAAGGTTAAAAAGCTAACTGCATCCTGAATGTTTTTTCCCCCTTGATACGGAAGGAGACATTTACAAAACAAAACAAAGAAATGTTTAGCTACACAGAGTGCTCAGTGCTCAAAGGTTTAACCACTCCCAGAGTGTACACTCACGCCATGGTTCAACATAATAGCAGAGCCAATTTGCCAGAGATATTCCAGGTGAGTGTTTTCTTGGTCAATGTTAGATTACCTGCAGCAACAGCTAGGACATTACAATAAGCCTCTACCATTCTGCAGAAGTGTGCAATAATTGAGGGTCTCCACTTCTGATCGTTATCTAAAACATCAGGTGTAAGTACATGTGGATAACCATTGAATGAAGCTAGGGTCAAGCTCAGCAGTGAAGTACCCAGTGATCAAATTGCCACCCAAAGGGTCACTGCACACAAGTACATAAATGGCCACGTGAATGATCAGACTGCAGTGTCAAAACTAAACATTTAACAATTATCATTTGAAATGATAATTTAGTACATTTTTAAAGTATCAAACTCCATCCACTCCAGTAATTTAAAAACAAAGGAAAATGGTTAGACCATTGGTTTCACAAGAGACACATTGCTCTTAACATTAACTAGACCTACCGAGTTTCTCCAGCATTTTGTTAAATTGGCAATGGTAAGAGGTCACCTACTTTGAGAAAATAAACAAATGGAAGTTGATCTGCTAAATTGCCAATGGATGGTTGGGGTTGCGCCAGGGGTTTGGCGGAGGCAAGGGGGGGGGGCCGGTGGTGGAAATCAGATGCTGCACATTTTTAGAGATAGTAGGAACTGCAGATGCTGAAGAATCTGACATTTATAAAAAAAAAAAACACGCGTAGAGCTGGATGAACATGCCAGGCCAAGCAGCATCCGAGGAGCAGGAAGGCTGACGTTTCGGGCCCCGAAACGTCAGCCTTCCTGCTCGGCCTGCTGTGTGCATCTATTTGCGCATTTTCAGCTGTGCAAAACAACTTTGCTAACACTGGGAGATACACTTTGAGATGGAGTGGTACTTAGTATATTGGAGTTGAAGGTAATTTTGCCAGACAGCCCTCTGACAGTAACTAATGGCAACTTAATCAGAGATGCAAGTACAGGAGCCAGAGACTTCCACAGCCTGCAAGGTGAATATATTTCTTGCACCCCATGCAGAGGAAAAGGAAGAGAAACTGAGGCAGCTTATCAAAGAGTTTGTCTTGTCTGACCTAACCATGACCGAGAAGCTAGACCTTTGAAGGGGTTTAGTTTAAGTTGGACAGGTAGATTAGAAATCCACTCTTCTGGTTCTTGTGCTAAACTTAAGCATGTTACAATAAAAAAGGTAATTTTCTGCTGTGGCAAAAACCTGGAGTGAATTGTTTTTGTCTTGAATAGCAAGCAGACAAGTTGGGTCACCTCAATGATTTCAGACATTTCATACATTTTTGTGATGCCTTGTGGCAAGTGAAGCGCGATTACTAGTGCTCTCTTCCCACAGAGGTCATGACAACATCCAGATTGAAACTTGCCTTGCATTTGTTGCATTCTGGGGAGCTGGGATTTTGTCTTTAAAAAACACAACACCAGCAATTGCAAAAACATAGTATGCCACCTGGAACAGAAGGAAGGAAACAGTAGAGTAAGCAATTAGCCACAGATGGTCACTGCACTAACTATTTTGCTAGAATTAACATTTTCCATTATCAAAAGATTCATTCCACTTGTGACAATCTATGCAAGGCATTTTTTGTCAGTCAGTATAAAACTTCCATTCCCACCGAGGACATGACAGACAAAAATGGAAGACAGAGTAATTTCAGAATTTGTTTTGGAGTCAGGAGACATTACCTGACCTTTAAAATCAAGTACAGTGGCAATACTAATTCTTTGCAGGAGTAACAAAAGGATAAAGACAAACCAGATGTAATTTGCATTTTCAAGAGTGTACAATAAAAACAAAAACAATAAAGGTACTGCATGCAAGTAGTAAAGCTTCTTAAAAAGGTAAGAGTCCATGGCAGTGGGAGTCATGTATTAGCAATAGGGAATTGGATAGCTAATGGAAGACAGGATTGGTACAAGGGCAGGATTTTTAGGATGTCAACCTGAAACCAGTAGTGTTTCACAGGGACTAGTGCTGGGGCCTCAGTTCTTTATAGTATGTACATTAAATGAATTAGATGAGGAAAGTCTTAAAAAAAATCACCAAGTTTGTGGATGACAAACAGGTGAGAAGGCAAGTAGCAGAGATGACAGAGTCTACACAAGGATATAGACAGGTTAAGTGGTCAAAAGCCTTGCAGCTGGACCATATATGAGAAAAATGCACTCTGGCAGGAACAATGGAAGAGCTGAATATTATTTGAATAGAAAATGACTGCAGAAAGCTAGAGGTGGACTTGGGGTCCTCATGTATGATCCTCCAAGTTTGGCAGGCAATACGGAAGGCAAATGGCATTTTGGCCTTTATTTCTGAAAGGAATGAAGTGTAAAAGTATGGAAGTGTGGTGAAAGTTATACAAGGCACTAGTCAGTACACACCTAGGATACTGAGCAGTTTTCAGTCTCATTTAGGGAAACATACTGGCATTGGAGTCAGTCCAGAGAAAATTCACTAGGTTGATCCAGAGGAGATGGTTGGGCCTGTCTTTATTGGAATTTAGAAAAATGAAAGGTGACTTTATTGCAACATAAAAGATTCTTAGGGGACTTTACGGGGTAAATGTGGAGACATTATTTTCCCTTGTGGGAGAGTCTAAGAAGAGAGTAAAGGGCCAAACATTTAAGATTGAGGGGAATTTCTTCTGAGAGGGTCATGAAACAGTGGAATTCTTCTCTGCAGAGGACTAATGTGGCTGGGTCATCAAGTACATTCGAGGCCAAGATGGACAGGTTTTTAAAATCAGTAAATGAAAGAAGAGTCATGGAAATTGTGGATTGAGCATTCAGATCAGCCAGAATCTCTATTATTGAATGACACAGCAGACTCAATGAGCCAAACAGCCTATTTCTGCTGCTACATCTTGACCTACACATCAGGTCAAATAACAGATAACACAATGACAATATCATTTAATCTCTAAGGTCTAGGAAAGTGTATCAATGCAGTCCATTAGAGGTGGTGAGAATAACAAAAACCCAAGAGGCAAATCACGAGTGAAGTGGTCAAAGACTGGACCAGCGTTATCTAAACTAAAACAAAACATTATAAATGAACCTTGTTTTTGAAAATAAGCTAAGCTAGAAAGGAAAAGGGGCTTTAAACACCTGGGAAGATATTCAAAGAGGACTCCTTTAGCTCTAATCTACAAGAGCCTGGAGTCCAATCTAGAGCCAGAAATTGTCTTCCATCTCAATAATAAACTTAATTCATGCCACAAACCGAACTAAGCTTGATTAGGATTCAAGCTCAAACGAAAGGGAGGCACAAGGTAAAATAAAAGACTGATTACTTGCTCACATTGGATTTTCTTGCAGACATTAGCCCAATGAATAGCAACATTAATTAAAAGAAAATTAAAGAGACAATTGTTCAACTTACCACAAGAATTCCAGCAAAAGCTCGCAAATTCTTGATCAGATCAAACAGACTATTGGCAACCAAGGACGTTAACTGAAAAATGCAAAACAGGAAGTGTTAATTGCAGCACACATTGATGCAAAGGCAACAGTCAGCTTTGTACAAGCTCCTCAGGCTTCACATCCTGAAAAATATACAACAAGTCATCAGGAACCAACCTCAGCAATTAATTCCCAAGGATTCTGACGCTGCAGAACTGATTTTTTTTTTTTTTTCCAGTACATGCGAACTGCAGCAGGACAATTACAACATTTTCAGTTGAATACAGGCTACAACTCCAGACAGCGTATTCACCACAAATGTTTCCTGTTGCAAACTTAAAATGTTCTGGAATCTGAAGAAAATTTAGTGCCATTGCAAGTTAATTTTCATGGCAAACTTTACCATTAGCTACAGCAGTGAGCAACACCTGTCCTGGCACATCGTTGGAGGAAGTCCATGTCACCAGAATTTGTTCTTATCAATATAATCTGCTTCAGTAAGGGAGACAAGAGCTATTCCACTGCAAAGGGAAGGCTGTTTATGATCATAATCACACAAGCTTTGCAGAATGTGACAACAGTGGGGAGCTGGAGGAACGCAGCAGACCTTCTAAAAAAGGGTCCTGACCCAAAATGTCAACTTTCCTGCTCCTCTGATGCTGCCTGGCCTGCTATGTTCCTTCAGCTACACCCTTATCTGACCCCAGCATCTGCAGCTCTTACTATCTAAGCCTTGTAGAATGCATTTTTTGGGAAGTGAGGAAACTGCAGAAAAATGTTACAGCTTTTCTGCCACCCCTGCAAGTCATATGGAGACTGCTTGCTCCAAAGCCATGAGTTTGTGTTGTATTTTGTCACATGGTCAGTATACCTTTAAATGATATGCTTATTATATCACCACTGTATCAAAACATTTAACTAGAGTCCTTCAGGGATTCACACTCACTACTTCCTGGGTAATCACCTGAAGCATGCTGCCCAACTCTAACTGAACGTTTGTCACAGAATCATGGAATCCCTACGTGTGGAAGTAGGCTATTCAGCCCATCGAGTTCACACTGCCCCTCCAAACAGTACTCCACACAGACCCACCCCCCCCACCACCCTATCTCTAACCCTGCATTTCCCATGGCTCATCCGCTTAGCCTACACATCCCTGGACACTACAGGCCAATTCAGCATGGCCAGTCTGCCTAACCTGCACTTGTGGACTGTAGGACGAAACCAGAGTACCCAGTGGAAACCCACAGACTTGGAGAACGTGCAAACTCCACACAGACAGTCACCAGAGGGTGGAATAAAACAGGTCTCTGCTGCTGTGAGGCAGCAGTGCTAACTGAGCCACCATGCCACCCAATTTGTGCTCAAGTTAACTGTAACAAACATGTGTTGGATTCTTAGATACCATGATAGCCATACCCAGTTTCTTATCACACCATGGAAAAGAGGAGCATTGCCGAATCAGGGTAGAAACAGCCTAGAGGCAAAAACCCAGTTTACATAGCCAATGAACTAACTGGGTGCTCCAAACTGGAGTTTCTAATTTGAGTTTCGACTTCAACATTTAACAGTACTGCACCCACCCTTTAAACTTTTTACTTCAGACAGTTAGTGCAACTTACCCTCCCACCAGCAGAAAGGTCATAAAGTTAGATTATTTAATAGAACTAAAAAAATTTCACTGAAGCATGCATAGCAAACCAAATATGCATCTATTCAACTGGGAGCCAGAGAAATCATTCTTATAAAAAAGTTAAAGTGGTTTCATCATAATGTACACTAGCCAGAAATTTTTGAAAAAAAAAAAACATGCAAGAGTCACTGAAAGATATTTTGATCCAAATCACCTTAACACTGGAAATTAATCGGAGAAATCTGAAAACAATGAGCATATTTGCCAGCCGAACAGTTTCCCAAAGTGAAAGCAATCCATGTAACTCTGGATTCCTGTAGGAAAGGGCAGATAAGAAAAATTCCAGAAGTGGATTGAAGTTACTTCTGACAAAACAAAAAAACTTTGCTAACAGATACATGCACTAAGCATACTTGCACAAAGGATTCTTGGGAATCAAAGAAATCCAAAGTGCCACCTCATCCAAGACGCTTTTTTCTTTAAACTCAAAATCCACCCACAAAGCAAAACAGTTTGAACAAAGAGCAGGCAGAAAACAGAATTTAACCACCCTGCTCTCCAGTCTGTTCTCTAAAGGAAACATCAAAAAGGGAAGCTACCTTGATTTACAACAGTGTCCTTGGGGAAGAAACCAGTTAAAACATTAAAACTTTTTGTACCTTTTAATGTTAGGAAAGGACAATTTGCCAAAAAGTTTAGTGGAAATTTTACATCAAAAATACATTTCAAAACTAAGTCCCCATCATCAATAAGTCCAAAAATCGGTTTTGGGTTTCTTTTCCTCGCCCCAACCCCAATCACTTGAGTGGACAAATTTAAATGACCAACTGAAATGTCCAAAAGCATCTCATTTCAATAATCACAGCAGTAAATCCCTTGCATCAACCATGTCCAAACTGAAAATGTCACCCAAGTTTCAATTTAGTTTTTCTGTAGTATATTTTCTTTCAATGCTGCAGAAGAAACTAAAAGTATGTAGGTACTGGCAAAAAGTGAAAAGTGATTTCAGAAGTAAAAATTTGGTAGCACTAATTCTTGTGTTCTTAAAGCATTTTAAGTATTGCAAGAGTTTTATAAAAATCAACTTCAAGACACAACTACTTGCTAAAAGCATCAAATGAGACAATATAAAGGTGGTATAAGTGTCATATGGAAATGATTTCTCATATGAGAAGTGAAGTAAGAGGTACATTTTCACTCAGTCTCCTGGAGAATCCATCTGTCTACAAGGGCACTTAGTGCCCAGCATGTTATTCAAAAGTGGAAATTGTGGGTTGTGCACATTTTCTGGAATAGAATCACCCGATTTTTTTTTAAATTCGCGAAAGGATATCAAATTTGAGACAAGGTGAAATAATTAAAAATTAAAGAAACAACATACCATCCTGGATGAGGCAAGCCATACTGCACAAGAGAGGACAGTTGCAGAATCTAAAAACAATCAGAAAATCAAATTTCTTTTTACAAAACTCAATGATAACCATTCAATATAGCACGTTTTTAAAAAAAAAAGGGAGATAATCAAATGTCCCAGTTTGGGAAGTCACATCTGGCACCTTTGTTTTAATCCACCTGTCACAGACCTAGTCTGGTGTTTTCCTGGCTGAGTGTGTCTGTAAAGACACAATCGCCAAGGATGCTGGCCCCTTATCTTTAAGAACAGCTCCATCTCCTTGTAAATGAAGGCATTTTACAGTATACATCTGTACACAGACAACACTTCAGAGCCATATTTAATAGCCTACTATCCCTCTGTCCACTTGACCACCAGACAGGCATCTTCCCCATGATGTAACTGGCCACAAGAATAATTATTATCTCAGTTCCAAATAGCAAACTTAAATTTTGAAGTGCAAGATTTTTGTTTAATCCATCCACTCTACTGAAATTGAGAATGGGAAGACTAAAAGAACTAAGAGGAGATTTATAAAATCGGTAAAAGAATCAAGGCTTGAAGGGATAATTGGAAAATGAAGTTGAAGATCAGATCAGCTATGATCTCATTGAGTAGTTGGGCAAACTTGAATGGCCTACTTCTGCTTATGTCTTTTGGAGAGATCAGTGACCATTAAAAAAAATTAGATCCAGTAATGCAATGCAGCACAAACTTGTTAAATGACCCAACACTGCATCAGTCCTAAGTCTTCTTGTTTATAGTATATACAAAAACGAGCTGAAGGAAAATGTAGGTGATCTGATTAGTAAGTTTGCAGGTGACAAGAAGAGAGATAGAGTTGCTGACAGTGCTGATGATTGCGAAAGGATACAATAGGATATAGCTAGACTGGTGACTTGGGCACAGAAATGGCAGATGGAGCTTAATCCAGATAAATGAGGTGATGCATTTTGGAGGATCAAATTTAGGTGTGAATTATACTGCAAGTGGCAGAACCCTTAGGAACATTAACATACAGATGGGTCCAGGCATGTAGGTCCCCAGTTCCCCAAAAGTGGCAACACTGGTAGCCAAGGTGATTAAGGCATCATATGGCATGCTTGCCTTCATTGGCCAGGGCATGGAGTACCAGAGTTGGCAAACCATGTTGTAGCTATATAAAACACCCTTGTTAGGCCACATCTGGAGTTGTGCGCGCAGGTTTGGTCACCACATTACCAGAAGGACGTGGAAGCTTTGGAGAGTGTGCACAGAAGGTTCACCAGGATGTTGCCTGGTCTCCAGGCATTGGCCATGAGGAAAGGTTAAAAAGACTAGGATTGTTTTCACTGGGAAAAAAAGCAGCTGAGGGGAGACCAGAGAGGTCCATTAAATTATGAGACATAGATAAAGGTGGATAGCCAGAGGCTTTTCCCCAGGGTTGAAGTTTCAGGTTCAAGGTAGGGGTGGGGGCGGGGGGGGGGGAGGGGGGTAGAAGAGAGAAGTTTAAGGGAGACGTACAAGGAAGTTTCTCACAGGGTTGTACGAGCCTGGAATGCACTACCAGAAGAGGTGGAGGAAGTAGCCACGTTAGCAACATTTAAGAGGCGTCTGGATGGTTACATGAATAGGGAGAGAATAGAAGGATACGTACCAAATAAAGGGCCGGAGGTTTGTTTTTTAGTTTAGTTAGGGCATGATGATCGGCACAGGCTTGGAGGGCCGAAGGGTCTGTTCCTTTGCTGTACTACTCTTGTTCTTTGCTCATTAGCAAAGACAGATTTTCCTGTATATTCAAACTCAACTTTCATGTTCAGCAAATTGATTTGACAATTTATTGTATTTATCCACAAGGGAAAAGAAAATTCAGAAAAACATCTTGACCAAACTTGTGCAATTTTAGACACCCCAATTAGTTAAAAGATAAATTGCTTCCCATCAACTTAATTTGTTAAAACAAACAAAGAAAAAAGTTTGATTCAATATCCATTGACAGTCAGAACAGCAATAAGGCATGACCTCATTGCAAATATTATAGACAATTGTTAAAAATCATCACACCTACCAGCAGTATTATAGTCAGAAGCCCATCAAATAGGTTGCTTTTGTATGAGCAATAACCTTTAATGCCCAAAGCAAAGATTTTCACTGCCATTTCCAAAAGATAGTACAGGACAAAGGATCCATTCACAACCTAAAATACCCAGTAAGAAAACAAAAATTATTTGCTCCTCGACAACGTTGCCAAAAAGGAAATGAAAATAGCTGCTTGACAAAAAACATTTCTTTGCAGCATTAAAAAAAACTACTTACACCTAAAAAGAATCCATCACGTTTAGAGATAGGTGTTTCTGCATCACGTACCAAAGCAACCTGTTAAAATAATTTAAGAAAACTAAATATGAACATTCTTCCCATCATCTTCCATTCTACACTTCTCCACCCACATCTTGAGATAAGAGGTTACCAAACCTCCTGCTTCTAATGTTGTTATAAAAACAAATAGTTGGAATGGTAGGAGAAAGTCACTGCAGGTATTGGAATCTGTACTAAAACAGAAAATTCTGGAAATCACAGCAGATCAGGCAGCATCCATGAAGACATCAAGCTAACACTGAGTCTAGATGACTCTTCAGAGCATGAGAAGCAGCAGCAGGGGAGAACCAAACACTACTTGATTTATGACTGACCCAGGTGATCGAGAGCCTATTTTGTAATTACACTTCTGACAACACTAGGAGAACAAAACTACAAAATAAATTCCTATGTAGTAACATTTCTCGTGGAATCTACCCATGATTTGCCAATGGAAACAAGAATAAAAAGTGAATGCACAATTTTCATTTTGCAATTTGACTCAAGTCCCAACAATCGCTCACACTTCAACGGTGTTGCACATGGTGAGTGAAAACCAGGAGAGACAAAAAACATCAAATATTTTGACTATAGGGATATTCAAGTTTAATGACTTACAGAAGTAGTATAGAAATCAATAAACCTACAAACTTTTAAAAAAAACACATTGGGAACTTCCAAAGTGCTTCCCATTCTACACTGACTGACAAAGATTGGCTAAACATCCCTCAAACAAGTTAAAAATAACTTAATTTGAGACAAATTCAGGATCACAGAACAATTTCTGTTTCACACAATTCTTTCATAGCAGATGGTACCAAATGGAGTTGAGGTTATCAGTGACTTTTGTTGGGCACCACAATTAACTATTTATCAAATTTTTCCAAAATCAATTCATTCAGACACATCAAGACACCTCTCAGGCATGTGGACTAGAAGGCCAGTGGTTGGAGAACTACCATTGCACCACAAGAACCACTTCAGATACCCAATATAATTTTACATTTATATCATGTCAATAAAAAAGTTGACTTACAAAAATGCAAATCAGATGCACTGCAACTATTAGGTTTCCAAAATAATCCACAAAGCGATGGCTGAGCAGAGTCTGAAGCTTTTGCAAGAACACAGATCGGTACGCTGGTTTTGGTGGATACTGAAAGGAAAAACCCATTTCTTGGTTGTGCATTTCTACCAGAACAAGTAGTTTTTGTTTCTAACTTAATTTCTTAAATTTTGTAACCCCAATTATAAAAACCTTACCATACAAGCAAATTTAAAGCACTTCAAACAAAATGACAATTTCATTACACTCAATACCCAGGTACTTCTGGAAGTCATTGAAGAGATGACGACATTAAATATCAGGGTAATTACAGTGCATCTTCCATGGAATTAGATTTGCATTTCTAGTCCAGGTACTGAAACCAGTTTTAAAAGTAAACATGCATCCAAAATCCAACTAAATTGCCTTTGTGGTCATACCTCTCTCACAGTCTCCTTGTGCAATTCGTCAAAGAGAGCTCTAAACTGTTCTGCTGTAACACAGTCATGAGTGAATGCCTTTACTTGCTGCAAAAAGCAAAAAAAAAGTGTTTTTAGATGAAGAAACATAGCACAAGGGCATAAGGTCCCAAAATGGTTAATACTAGGAAGTGCACTAAACACGGATCATCTTGATTTCACTTCGCACAGGCAAGAAAACAAGCTTGAACCTCAATGAATTATGACCCAAGATTGAGGCCTCCCTCAGCCTCCATAAAGTTGTCTATCATGCCAATGTAACTTAAACTAATCTTGCTTGAGAGCAACTAGGTACATTTCATTAGATCATCACACAACAAGCAGACCAAGATCCCAATCAGGAAGAGGACTGCAGCAGCAAAACTACCAGATAGATCTTGCATCACGATAAGCTGTGGTGAGGATTGATCTTCAATTAGTTCATTGAAAATGTGTTGCAAGAGACTTTAATGGAGAATTATTTTGAAATTCTATGCGCTGCTTAGGAAGAGTTGTTCAGGTTATGTTTGAAGGCATCTTCCCCCACACCATAAAGAAACTTACCACCCAGATACACATTTCCATTACTTGGCCGTCAGCAAGAGGTAATAATCTCCAAATACAAGTCAAAGGCTAAAATTTTGCCCCTTATAGCTTTCCTCTCAAGATCAACTTCGATGAGAGAAATGGAGTCAGATCTAGTTAAAACTAAAATACCATGGTTGCCAATGGAGTTTACTTTCAAGTTTCCTACATTCCAGTTGTGGAGTCTTGGGTATAAGATACCAGATAAACTGAGGATTAAACTTCAGGTACATTATTCAGGTGAATATTTAAATAATATTTCATAAATGTTTCTCTTCAAAGAGCCTTACATCATGATAACTCAAGATAAATAAAACTTGACACCAAGCCTCATAGGGAGATAGAGTAGACGACCAACCTAAGGGGCACATTAATGTGAAAAGAAAAAAAGAGATGATAGCACAGATGTTTAAGGAGCAAAGTGTGGAATTTGAGGCTTGAACAGCTGAAAACATACAATACTGAAAAGGCTAAAAACAGAGCTATGCAGATAGCGCAAAGTTGTCAAACTGCAAGTTTAAAAACATGAGGCATAAAGCCAAAGTTCAAGAACAAGAACAAGAATTCTAAAATACAACAATCAAGATGTTGTTTGACTTAGCAAGTATTGGGATGATGAGTACTCAGAACTTGCTCCAGATTTGGACAACATCTGTTGAATGAAGGGTAAGAGCCCAAAAAGATAACCAGGAGGAGCTCAATAGTCAAATCAGTGAGTAGCAATGGCACAAGCCAATCTTCACAAATGGATTGAGGTGGAGGCAAAGACAAAGTCAGATGTGAAAATAGTTAATCTTTGTGATAGCGTCAGTTAAGGATCAGACAAAACAACTGATTTACAAACAACTGGCTCAGGCCTAGACTAATGGCAAGAGGGATGATGTCAATGGCTAAGGAGCATCATCCTTGGCCCTTGCCTAAAGATATGAGTATTAGTAATACTTATACTAATTCATGGGTATTTAGAGTAAATTTTGGTTCATCTGATTACAATATCATAAAAGCAACAGCCAATTTGGAAACAGAGGCAGTTAGCATTGTCCACGTACATGTGGGAATAAAACGGAGTCATCCTTCATATCTCAGTTCTACAAAAAAAAATTATTCACCTTAATCATCTCTTGCTTGTGCGCTGAAGACATTTTCACTTTCTGCAGGACTTGCAGCACGGTGTTGGTGCTTACAGTCATTCTACTGATTTTAAAGAAAGGGACCATTTTAAAACCATTTAATTGTAGACATTAAGCATTCTGGTTTCCATCTCAGCACAAAAATAGAGTTTCCATCCCTCTTCATTCCATTGCAAAACTGTCCCCTTCCACATCAATGTCTCAATTTTAGTGCCAGCTGCCAGCCACCATCCAACTGTCCAGTCATTCATGTCTTGCATTAACTCCAGACTCAGCAATGGCACTGCATTGCTGACATCTAGCCCATTTTTCCACTCTCAAACATCTCATTTCAAATTATAGTATATCAAGTCAGATTTTCCCAACCTGTCAAGTAGTGCAATACTGTAGCTACCTTCAACCAAAATTGATGTCAAAATTATGGCACAAATTTAAGTGATTGGACAATGGGATACATTTCAAACATGTTGCCTTGTCAGCTCTTGAACAAATTCAAAACAGCCTCATAACGAAAGTATTCACGAATCTTACACAGAACCTCTTCTTCCAGCTTTGCTTGGACGCTCGCAGCAAAGCACCTCAAATGCTCCTCGAATTCCCAAGCATCTTCGAATTAACAATGCCTGAATTGAACTCTAAGAAAAACAAAAGGGGAAAATTACTTTGAATTACTACAAAGTCTCAAGAATAGAAAATTCTAGGGTAGAATCATTTATTTTCCCAATTTGGCTCCTTCACTCAATTTAAGAATGCACAAAAGATTAAGCTGAACTAACCTTCATTCTAGGTAGGAGCAAATTACTGCAAATTGAATCTGTACTGAAAACAAAAAAATGCTGGCGATCACAGCAGGTCAAGCAGCATCCGTCGAGA